ACCCAGGTCACGACTACTCTCACTACAAGAAAATTTGCTATTTCAGATGACCAAAATCCGTGGGAAATTCAAAAAATCTGTGGGTAATAGTGCATTTTTGACGGATTACTGACGAACACCAATCCGTCTGTAAATTGCTCGTCTGAAATATTTACCGACAAATTTTTATCCGTGGGTAACTTTTCGACGGATTTTCCCACAGATTTATTCGTGGGAAATTACCCACGGATTAGTCCGTGGGAAATTACCCATGGGAAATTTCCGTGGGAAATTTTGTGGAAAATTATATTTTTTTAAAAAAATTCAAAATTGTATTAAATAATTATCCTATTTAAAGATATTAAATCAAACATAATTATGTAAATAAAAAAAAGCTCATTCATACAAAATAAAATGTCATACATAACAAATAAAATTTAGGAGTTCAAATTTAAAAATCACATAGTACGATCAGTAGAATTATAATATAATGTCTAATAATCAGAATATCCAGGTGAATTTTGTTGGGGTTGGTCATTAGCTTGTTGATCCTCTGTTGGTTGTCGATTGTCTTGTTGTTGGTCTTGTTGGTGTCTGTTTGGTTGTTGAGGTTGATGTTGATGTTGTTGTTGCTATTGAAAAGTAGTTTGCATAATAGGTGGTAGGAATGGGAGTACAATATTGGGAAATGTGTTGAACTGAGTCTGATATTGGGAGGTCAAGGATTGAATCTTAGTTTGATACTGGGAGCACATTTGATGCATCTCTTCCTCATTAGATAAAACTAAGAAGTTGTTCATCTCATTGTGTGGATTGAGATAGTTGTGGTGCTCTGAGAGCCCAATTTGTTGAAAAACCCTCCTTGGGAAGTTGTCCCTTGGAGTGAATGTTGTGTTGTTCTCCTCTAGGACTTAGTTGATCCCGTGTGTGGGCAAGGTCGAGGCACACGTGTACAAAGCGACCACGGTATAGGGGTCAGGCCGAGCTATACTGATTACAAGGGGCTAGATATTTATTGTTGTAAAGTTGAAAAGCTGGGAACATATGGTGAATATATATGTCCTATGTTGAGATACATAGTACTAAGAAGATAAGTTGAAAGTTGTTTTAAAGTTGAATTCCTTAGTACTGTGTGGACGACATGGAAGTAGTCGATCCATGTCATGGTTGAATGACCAATTTGAGTAAGGTATCTAGTTAGAGATGTAGTCTTTGACTAGGTACTGAAGGGTGAGTGGTACTTGGAGGACAGTGGGTGGGCTAACTCCATATGTGGATTGGTGATGCTAGCCAAGGCCATGGTAGGCTCATACCCAAACCCTTCTGTCCTGATAGTAGTACTGGACCTCCGAGTCTAAGTGGCACACTTGAGCAATCGCCTATTGTTGTCTATACCTGGTTCTCTTCGGAGTTCCTAATGTTGTTCTATACCTGACCTGGTTGAGATAGATCAACGCTGGATTCGGTAGGGTTTATGCCACCTAGATTGCTCAATTCACTACAAGAAAAATGTAAATTTTCGACGGAAAATTTCCGACGGATTTATTTTTCCGTTGGAAATTTTTGACAGAATTTTCCGTCGGAAATTTTCTGTCAGAAATTTCCGACAGAAATATAAATCCGTCGGAAATCATTTTTAATTATTATATTTAATTATTATTTTTAATTTCTTTTTTTAATTTCTTATTTTTAATTTATTATTTTTAATTTCTTATATATATTTGTAGTATTAAAAATTTTATATATCTTTTAAAGGTATAAATATATATTATAATTATTTATTACAAGTTTTTTATATCTACGATTAGTATTAAAGATGAAAATAAATTAGGTTATACTATATTTTATTATAATTTACTTGGTTTGAACCTAACTTTCTTTAAAAATATATATTTTAAGTGTGACTTATTTATCTATCATAGATAATTTTTAAATATTTGGGTAGAACTACAAT